GTAATAAAGGGCTTTAAATTACCCCACGGTATGAAATTTCTGGCTTGTTGCAATGAAGAAAGGAGTTAAGCAGCTGAGAGGGTTTTTTTTTTTTTTTTCCTGCCTGGGAAAGAAGGGATAACAGTGACTAAAGACAAGATAATAATGGTTTAAAAGAAAAGCATTCACTAAGGGATTGATTTACTGTAGGCTTAATGGAGGGTTGCATGCAGAGTTTATCCAGCAGAGGAAGGTAAGCTGAACCACATGAAAAAATATCCCTTATTTCAGAGAATAAACACAGCTCTCTATGTACATCCCCATTAGCATCCTTTCAGGGAAAAGTTAATATTTCTTTTGTAGCCCATRTAGGTCAGACTCATTCATAACCTTCTTTTAGAAGCAGAATACTCATGGCTTGAAGCATTTTCCAGAATTGCACAGATCACAGACACTCTGCTGGTTGTTTGCCACAGGGCTCTTAGGAATATATATATGTTTATGTTTTTTAAATAAGGGTCTTTTGTACAATAAGACCAAGATTTTTGCTGAGACCCACTCACACCAGCATGGTTTATAGACATAGCATTTGCTCACAGTTCCCATTAAAAAAGGCTAAACTATATTTTTCATATTAAAATCACATCCCCCTGATGAGCAATAATGTAAAGAAACCATGCCTAACAAAAAAYAAATTATTCCAGACAAATTGATTTAATGAATGACACAAACCAATCAATCATAGCAATATTTTAATAGAATTTTGTAGCCAGTTATTCAAGTGTAACTCCAGACCCACAGAAATCAATGGAATTTTGKTTTTGACTGTACTGGGAGCATAATTCAATTTGTGGTGTTTAAAGGAGAACAACATTCTTATTTTAGAGTTTGACTGACTGTTTAAAATATTTCATTGGAAGTTTATGGTGTGAAACACTTTTTCCCCCRCTCAGGGACAAGATAAAGTATTTGGGGAATAAACAGCATTGCTTTCAGAGAGGAAACCAWGGGTTCTGCCCTGTGCCCCTTTGCTCTGCACACATTCCATGGATTTGGAGCTTTTCCAGGGGCACCTGAGCCCTCTGGGCCATGTCAGTGGATGCACAACCTGCATGTCAGAGGAGAAAAACTCTCATTTGTCTCCCGTGGGTGCAGTTCCCTCTAGAAAAGCTCATCTCTGAACTGCTCCCTTGTTCTTCTCAGGGAATAAATATACCACAATTGTTCCTGAGAATTGTTCCTGCAATAAAACTTCCCGAGGTGGATATTCTGCAGTGTCCTTAGCAGCCTCTCCCAGCACTTAATAATAATTTTCATTATGAAGGGTTTTCAGGAAGCTCAAACTAAATCTCCCCACTCCAGACTAAGGCTGCTCCATGATTTCTCTTTCAGTTTGCAGCTTTCCTTTAAAGCTGAAAGCCTTTCCCTTCCTTCCTCCTCACTTCTGAACCTCTCTTGCTCAGCCTCACCACATCCAGTTCTCTGTGTCACTCTGCTCACATTCCTCCCCAAACTCATTCACCTCCTGGTTTTTTTTGCTGTTTCTCCTCTCTTCTTTCAGGTTTGTTGCCCAAAATCACCCAGAGGATCCCAGGGGAAATGTCCCCTCAGAGAATGCTCCCTGCAGTGATCAGAGCCCTGTAAATGATTCCCAGATCCACGAGAGCCTTTCCCATTTGTGTGGGATGCACTGACAGCACAGATTTCCTTGTTGCACTCCATCCTTTGTTKTTGGATTCCTGAGGGGAGCAGGACAAGATCCCAGAGGAATCCTTGGCTCCAGGAGCAGCAGAATTGMGTGTGTGGAAATAGGAATGTGAGAGTTTTCCTTCCAATCCAGCCTTTTGTTGTTCCCTCACTCGTTACTCTTTACCATCCCTTCAGTGTCTCCGTTGATTTCCCACTGCTGTGCCAGACACTTTAATAAGGTCCAACTGGATTCGATTTTATCAACTTTTATTTTCTAGAAAATGATACCAAACAAAGCCTGAACTTATTTTCTGCTAATCCACGCTGCATTTTATTTTGCTTTCCTTTTACTTCCTGAGGAACTTTTAAGGCTCAGCCACGTTCCCATGGCTGAGCTGTTCAGTGTAATTAATAAAGAATAACGTGATGAGGAGCTGCTCTCCCTGGCTGCTCTCAGCTCATTGGCAATGGCCTTGTGCAGAGATGCAGCTCCTCTCATCCTAATGATCCTCCAGTTCCATTTTCTGTCAGAAAGTGAGCCCTGTTCCACTCCAACACCCCCCAGTCTGCTGCATCCCAACAGCAGTGCCACAGATGCCCCCAAACCCACCCTSAGGTGCTGTTTTTCAGCAGTATTTTTGTTTTTTTTCTGGCAGTTTCTGTTTCTATCAGGTTGTCCTGCTCCCTGTGTGCAGGCAGGGAGGTGGCAAATACCTCGTAAAGCCTGAAAGGGTTTAGGTGGATTAAATACCCCGAGGAGTGTTTAATATTTGATCACTGTGGGGTTTTATTACGCTGTGAGCAGGTTCCTAAGTGTCCAGGAGACAGATGTGGAATGCCATCAGGAGYCTGGCAGTTCTTCAGGTGTGCTGGAGGAGGTGACAGAGAATAAATCAGAGTTCTTTACAATTCCAGTATTAATCAGGGCTCATCTCAGAGCTGGAGCTGAGGTCAGTGCCCAGGTGATCAGGGAAAATTCCTCTCTAAGCTACACAGAGCAGATGTTCCCTCACCCCGAAATGTGCCACGCTTGAAGAGGGGAAAGAGATCCTTTTTCATCTTTGAACATTAAAAACTGGTAACAGAAAKGCAGGCAGCAGTGTTTAACACAGCACAAAGGAAAAGGCCTCTGTTGGCTTCAGGCCATTTTCTCCTGAAGTCAAACAGATTCAAGATCACCCTTTGCCTCACCAGCAGGCTGGAGATGGAGACAATCAAAAAACCACAGCAAGTAATGGAAGCATTGGGGTGGAGTGTGATTTCATTGAGCAGCCCTGTACAGAGCTGGAAACAAGGCGGTTAACCCAGCAGGTAATGACTGCAGAGAGAAAGGCAGAGCAGCAAGGAGCTGATGCCACTGATTCTGTTTCCAAAACAAATGATCCAGCACGGTGAAATTCCAGGTACAGAGAGGTTATTCAAAGAGGAATTAATCCTGTTTTCAGGGAGGCAATTAATCGTTTACATTATTGATATCTATAACTAATTAAACACTGACAGGTTCTGTTAATCCTGCAGACTGGGAATGCTCCACTTCTCCCTTTTCAAGGAGCATCAGCACTTTAAGAGCCAGCCAGGGAACAGAAGGTGGTGCCCCAGGGAAACATTCAAATGAACGTCCTGATTTCAAGAGAAGAGCAAATGGAAATGTGAGCAGAGACCGGGGAGAGATGAGGTGTAAAGGCTACGTGCTCTCTGGGCTGCYCATTGTCCTCTCTGAAGGCAAATTTTGGGGTGGATGTGTTTGTGTAAGAACTGGTCTTGTCCTCTGGAGGCATTGGAATAGCAGAGCAGAGGGATGATGCACGCAGGGAGGAGATTTCCAGAACCCAGTCAGCAGTGAGCAGCGATTTCCTTTTGTTTCCTCACATCTGACACTAAATCCGTGSGATCAGCCCTGCCCATCCTGGGAGAATTTGTGCAGTTTCTGCTCTAAGAGAGAGGTGCAGTTCAGGGTGCTTTGGAAATGCCTCAGCCAGCCAAGCTTTGTGTTTCTGAGAGCTTTTATATGGAGCTGCAGCTCTCTGGGGGGTTGAGCCCCCTCCAGGCTGCCCCAAACACGGGATTTACCTGCAAAACATTGATTTTTCCACAGAAATTAGGGTATCACTGGTATTTGAGAGGTTGAGGAG